GTATTTATAGGTAGAGATAGAAAATATGAGAATTAATTTTTTTTTATATTTTCAATCAATTTGCCTAATTTCTATTTCCTTTTTTCATTAGAATCCTTTTATATTTTCAATCAATTAATAATATCAGTTTCCTTTTTTCAATTTATATTGACTGGATTTCACAATGGTATATTGGTATTGCATAATATTACCAATTAATTGCTTTTATAACATTTCCATTTTACATTTGCTTACCAAATAAGTTTTATTAATTTGACCAATAAAATATTTCATTAATTTGACTATAAAAGTTTGAGCGGGAAAATTACATAGGAGGATTTTACTTTTATATATATATAGATATAGATAGATATAGATAGATATAGATATATAGATATAGATATAGATATATAGATTATTATTAATATTAGAGAAATTATATTAAGAGTTTTGGATTATTATTATTACTATTATTATTATTATTATTATTATTATTATTATTATTTTGTTCATAAATAACATTATAACCAATAAACATAAACACGTAGTAAAGTAAAATTATTTAAAAGAAAAATTATTTTATAATTATTTGTTATTACATCCAATTTAAATTTCAATTGTAAATTATTCATTTTATTATGCAGCTATTATTTTGTCAATATATTAATCATATGATTTATTTTTATTAGATTTTATTTTTATTTCTATTTTTATTTACTATTTTTATCATATTATGAAAATATATATAGTTAATTAATATAATCAATGATTTTTACTGATTTTTTTTTAAAGCAATGTTACCTTATCTGATTAATTTAAAAAAAGTAAACAATATATATAATTTTTTCATTTTGTCTAAACTACTACACATCATTCCCGTCATTTCTTTTTCTAATGCTATTTTCACATCAATATTTAATAAAATATTTACCAAATGATTGCTATTTTTATCACTATGCGTGTCCATTGAACTCTTGTATTACACAAAGTATTTAATTAAAAACATAATAAGTTCCAATCCAAGTTATATTCCTGATTTTTGTCCCTTTTTTCTGTTAAATTTTTTTGTACCTTATGCTATAAAAGTTGTACTACATAATTTTTTGGACAAAAATATCCCTGCCGTTATAACTTCTGTTATCTTTCCACACTATTATTACTATGTACATGCATACACAATAATTTTTTCTTACATCCTTCAATGGTAAGTTTTAATTCATTTAGGTTTTAATTAAAATGCTACCATAGTTATATATAGTAATATAGTAATTTATCATTCTATAATTTTTACCTCAAAAATATTAATATGAATTATACAATTATATATATATATATATATATATATATATATATATATATATATATATATATATATATATATATATATATATACACACACACACACACACACACACACACACACACACAATTATTTTTTTTAAAAAAAATAATATAACTAAGATTTTAATATTTAATTTTAATATTGGGCATATATTTTTTGCGCATTGCGCATATAAAATACTAGTAAAAATAATAAAAAGCGGAATCCCAAATATTAATACCAACATATAAGTTTATAGTTGGTTGATTTGATTTGTTTGTTTTAAATTTGTAATGGTATTTTGTTGATATTGTACGAAACCTTAGTTGGTTGATTTGATTTGTTTGTTTTAAATTTGTAATGGTATTTTGTTGATATTGTACGAAACCTTCAAAATGACAATAAGCATATCCTGAAGCGATTGATTCTTGAATATCAACCCAAGAACATCCGGTATTAACTCATCCCATCATCAAACATTACAACCATCCTCCATTTTAGCTTCTAACTCTCTGCCTCAATGGGAGGAGAGACAGAGGCAGAGAGAGAGAGAGAGAGATCCAGAACAAGAACACATGATTCACTAAATGTGCTTGATTCAAACCATGATATGTTAGTCAAGGTTTCAAAAGGTGAGGCGTGTTGACAACCAAAGCTATTCTCAATTTAATTGAAAAACTAAAGGTGACTTAAACAACAAAGAAATGCAGACCATACACGTTGGTCTAAGGGGATTATAGGGGAGCCTCATATTTTTTCCCCTTAAACAAGACAATTCACTTTAATTGTCTCATATACAATGACGATTAATAAAAGCTAGGGTCAATTACTTTTTCATGTAGGTTTATTCTTAAAAAAATCTGTCTTTAGTCATGAACAATTATATGTTGCAGTTTCAAGGGTCACAACTCCAAATGGGTTGAAAATATAGATTTGTAATAATGAAAGCAACAAAAACAACTTCAACAGCAAACATTGTATACAAGGAAATTTTTCAAAATTTGTAAAAAAAAAAAAATAATTCATTATAAAATCATATCATATTTTAATATTATAGTTGTTATTAAATTTATTATCTTCTGTACTTTCTAAACCAATTTTACTAGAGTAGTAATGAAATTCGTCATGTTTTAATTTTAAGTATTTTTAATTTCAGACTATTGTGTAATTTGTGTACCTTTCAAACATATTAATTTTACAAATAAAATTTAACTAATTTGTGTACCTTTCAAACATATTAATTTTACAAATAAAATTTAACTAAATCAGTTATAGGAAAAAATACATTTTTAAATCAGGTAATTTAAAACAACTTTAAAATACAGTTTGATTCCAATTTGCTTTTCACATATTAATGCTTTTTAAAATTATTTTCCTCTTTTCACATATTTATTTTCATAATAATATAATTACATAAATCATATTACATATCAATTTTTCTAAAACATTTGTGAATAAACGAGTCATATATTATTGATACTTTTGCACTTATCTTATAATCTAAAAAAATTGTACACTTCCAAATTTTATTATTTAAATATATATATATATATATATATATATATATATATATATATATATATATACATATATATATATATATATATATATATATATATATATATATATATATATATATATATATATATATGTGTGTGTGTGTGTGTGTGTGTGTGTGTGTGCGCGCGCGCGCATCGCACAGGTAAATTACTAGTTTGAGTTGTAAAAGAAGCGATTACTATAAAATGGCAAATTATGTGGATCCGGGTCCATCTTTCAAGTTGTACCCGAGTCCAAAATACATCACTTATATTTTACATACTGAATGTTCACAATTTTATAAAAGGTAAATTGTGAACCTTTAATATGTAAATTGTGAACATTAAGTATGTAATATGAAAATTGTGTATTTTGAACTCGGGTCCACATTGCAAGGTGGGCCCGGGTCTAGGGTATAACTATTGGCAAATTACTGTGTGGACCATGGTCCACATTGTGGATCATAACAAAAAAGTACATTTTTAATATACTAAATGTACATTATTTTTGTACTGAATGTACATTATACAATATAATGTACACTCAGAACAAAAATAATGTACATCCCCTTAATACAATGTACATTATTTTTTTACTGAATATACATTATTTTACAGTAAACAAAATATGGTCCACACAACTTGTGTGGACCATGGTCCACCAATAATGATTGATAACTATTGCTATAATGTGTGTAAGTAGGGGTGGAAATAGGCCAGGCCGAGCCAGGCTTTTTAAAATTAGGCCTGGGCCTGTTAGGAAAACTTAAAGCCTGGGCCTGGGCCTAGGCCTGTATGTAGGCTTTTTTTTAGGCTCAAGTCTGAGCCTACAGTAGGCCTGGCCTGGCCTGAAGCCTTTTTAAAAGCCTATTTAGTAAAAAGGCTTTTAAAAAGGCTTCAAAATAGGTTCTAAATAGGCTTTTAGTCTATTTAAATAGGCTCAAAGCCTATTTAAAGCCTACATTTTAAATCCTTTTAAATATTATATATATATATATATGAATATACCTATAAAAAATAATTATATTATTAAGTTACAATCAAGTGAATCAACCAATATTCATAAATGACAAAACTAAGTTCATATTTTATAATAAAATGTCAAACAACACCTACAAGTTTAATAAGTACGAGTTCATAATACAAAAACCATACAAGTTTGATAACATCAAGTCTACATGTCCATAATACAAAAGTCCATCACAAATTCACAACTCACAAGTTTAACAACAACAGAAATCATAAGTTCACAATACAAACATGAAACATTAAACATAATAACAACAATAGCATTCAAACATAAAATGAAACAAGTCATGGCTTCAACATAATCTCCTGTTGTCCAGAATCTCCCTACACAATGAAAAAAATTGAGAATAAATAATGAAGTCAATTACAAGTTCAAGTTCTCATAATTAAAGTAACAAGCAGTAATATAAAATAATATAAAATATTAAAGTAACAAGTACATTCTTACCTTTTGTTTTTTCTTCAGCCCGTACTTGTTACGAAGCCAATCCCCACCACAAATAAGAGCTTCAATAGATTCCTCATTTAAGCTAGCACGATATTCATCAATGACTCTTCCCCCGGCACTAAATGTGGATTCAGATGCCACACTTGAAATAGGAACAGCTAGTATATCAGAAGCCATCTTTGATAAAACTTTAAACTTTGGACTATTATTTTTCCACCACGCCAAGGCACAAAAGGATGAAGTAGAAGAAGGAATAAAAAGATTTTCCTCAAGATAAGTCTCCAACTCTGATTTCGTAAGAGGAATTGATTGACTTTGGTAGACCATACTCAATAATTCTTGCATCCCTTTATCCATTTGTTGTCCACCATCAACCAGAGTGCTGCTTTCAACATTGACTTCACTATGTCCACTAGTAGAAGAAGCATCTTGACTATACAAGTTCACATAATCAAGATATAAATCTTCTAATGCCCTTTTCACCTTCTCCACATTCTTTTCAACATCACTTGGTGTTTTATACAATAAGGGAAAAGTTATCTTAATACCATTTAATTTCATCCTTGGATCTAAAACACATGCAATAGACATTAACAAATTACACTCCCCCCAATATTTGTCAAATTTTGCTTTCATAGGTTTTGCCATCTCACGCATGAACATGTCAAAACACTCAGCTGCATTATCAATAACCTTTTTCACCCTTTGAATTTCAGCAAGATACAAGTTAGAAGTAGGGTAATCACTACCTGAGATGACATGAGTTGCATCATTAAAAACCTCCAAAAGTTTACAAACCTTCTCAATCTTGTCCCAATCCTCAAATGATGGTGCATACTTATAATGGGGCTCTTTTTCATTGTAATCTGAAAATGCATGCTTAAATTTACTTGCAGTACACAACATCAAGAATGTGGAGTTCCATCTTGTTGGACAATCAAGAATAAGTTTCCTTTCTTTCAATCCTTTTAATTCAACAACTTCATGGAATGACTTTAGCCTTGCATCTGAAGAATTTATAAATTTCACACTTTCACGAACATTATGAATGACATCTTTAATAGTGTTAAGGCCATCTTGCACCAACAAATTCAGAATGTGAGCACAACATCTAACATGAAAAAGTTGACCATCAAGTACTAACTTACTGCTCAATGACATGTTTTCTTTCAAACTTCTAACACAAGAGTCATTGTAAGATGCATTGTCAACAGTTACTGAGAATATTTTATTCTCAATGCCCCATCCTCTCAAACACTTGAAAATAGCATTTGCTATATCTGTTCCTCGTCGAGGAGGAGGCACTTTGACAAAATTCAAAACTCTCTTCTGAAGGTTCCAACTTGCATCAACAAAATGACCTGTCACAACCATGTACTCAACTACTTGGTGACTTGACTTCCACATGTCTGTTGTAATGCTAACCTTACTCACATTATTCAAAATCCTTTTCAAAGTATTCTTTTCAGCTTCATACAATTGCAAACAATCACTTCTTGTTGTTTTACGACTGACTCTTCTAAAATTTGGATTTGCATATTCAAAAGCCCACATGAACATGTCATCCTCTACGATGCTAAATGGTCGCTCATGCACCATAATTCCACTAGCAATAATCTCTCTCATCTTTTCATTGGAGTATTTAGCATTAGGAACAATAAAGGGATTACCACCACATTCACTAGGCGGCCGAAATTGTATCGTTGTTTGTTTATTTTCTCGAGAGATATGCAACTTCCGTTGCAGGCAAATCTCTGAGTGCCTCTTAAGATGGCTAGTGCTTGCACCCTTTCCACCAGTAGAGTATTTTTCCTTACAATACAAACACACTGCTTTCTTTGTACCATTAGCAAGTTCAATTTCTTCAAAATCATTCCATACCGGAGATGTTTTTTTCCGCTTTTTTGTTAAGATTGAATCATTATCAACCCTATTGACTTCTTCAGAATTGTTACTTTCAATTGGTTGACTTGAAGAAATTGATGGAGTTGTAGTTGTAACTTGCACATTCACTTCTTCAGGAATAGATTCATTTGTATTGTTACTTGTCATCCTATATAATTTTATAATTATTCAGCCATTAAAACACATAAACAAAGTAACATCTAAGTATCTAATATTAATTATTATAAACAACTAAACTATAAACTTTATAGTAATAAACTAATTATAGTAAAAAAAAAAAAAACTAATTATGTTTAGTTGTTTATAATAATTAATATTATAACTAATCAATTTATTAGTCTGCTTAACTAATCAATAAACTGAGTAATAATTGTTTATAGTAATAAACTAATTAAATTGCTCATTGCAGACTTGCAGTTCCTTATTAGTGTATAACTAATCAATTTATTAGTGCATAAGTGCATAACATTATTTATTTAGTTATTTATTTATTTAGTTATTTGAACTAAATAATAACTACTGTCAATTACTTTGTTGACCATATACAATCACTGTGTCCTTTAATTAGCAGATTCATTACTTGATCTTTGCTTTCAATAGGTTTATTACGTGTATGGGTTCATGCTATTGGTTTTTATTATTCTGATAATTGTCAGAGTGTGTGTGATAAATTGATAATCGTGGCCACATATTTCTGCTTAAACAACACTCAGGCCTGTGTATATTAAATAACAGTCAAGGCAGTATGCATATTACTTCAATAAACAGGTGATGAAACGCAGGTCTGAGTGTCTACTTCAATAAACAATTAAACAAACAAACGTATATTAATAAAACTAACCTCCGATCGCCGGTCGCCGGTCGCCACCAAGCAGATAGCAGAAAAGCAGTCTGAGTCGTCCAACTGCGGTCGCCGCTTGTCCAACTCCGGTCGCCACCTCGCCACGCCGCCTCACCGCCCGCAGCCTCGCCGGAGTCGCGTTAGTCGATTCGAAGATTTCGATTTTTGGGGAAGAAACGAGTACAGGACAGTTTGTGTCCACAAAGCCACAAACGCAGACAGTCCTAGGGTTATCAGATATTGACTTTATACTTATATATATATATATACTGGGTTATATTGTAATTATTACAAAATATTAGTTATAAAATATAATATAAAATAATTAATATTAAATATATATTTTATATATATTATATACATAAACAGGCCAGGCCTGCAGGCTCGTAGGCCAGGCTTTCACATATAAGCCTAAGCCTATTTAACTAAATAGGCTATTAACTAGGCCTAAGCCTGGCCTTTTAACTAAACAGGCCAGGCCAGGCCAGGCCATAGGCCCCTGGTAGGGGCCTGGCCTATTCCCACCCCTATGTGTAAGTGCAACAATTATACTGTGGACCGCGCTACACAATGCATTGTGCACCGCGGCCCAAAAACGGCGCTACACAATGCATTGTGCACCGCGGTCCAAAAACGGCGCCGTTACAGTTAACGGAGCGCGCATGTTTGGTGTATTAATTACCAACTGAAACTACAGTGTATCTAAACTGACACTGCCTCACGTATTATTTTTATATTATCAATTGAAACTGTAATTGAAATGAAATGAAATGAAACTGTAGTTGTGTTGAAATGAAACTGTAGTGTATACAAAAGAAACTGAATAACAATTTCACATATTTGAGTGTATATTACCCAACAAAATTGTAGTTATATCAAAATAATATTGTAGTTGTGTTGAAATGAAACTACAGTGTATATAAAATGAAACTGAATAACATTTCACATATTTGAGTGTATATTGTGCAATGAAGTTGTAGTTATATCGAAATGATCATGTAATTGTGTTTTAATGAACTATAGTGTATATAAAATAAAATTAAATAACATTTTCACATATTTGAGTGTATAAATATCGAATGAAACATTAGTTGTGTTGAATCGAAACTGCAGTGTATACAAAATGAAACTGAATAACAGAGTTATTTTTTTGCGGAACGGCACAGGACGGCGTGAAACGGGTGCCGTTTCTTTCCATTAAACAAACGACGTCATTTAGAAACTTGGTGCATAATTCATTAGTTCGCGCATCGCACATAAGAAATACTAGTGTGTGTGTGTGTGTGTGTGTGTGTGTGTGTGTGTATATATATATATATATATATATATATATATATATATATATAAAGGTTTCAGTCTCTCATCATTTGCGCAGTCGCGACCTCTTGCTAGGGTTTCTCTCATTCTCTATTTCTCTCTAGTCTCTCCTCTCATCTTTGAGCTCTGAGTCTCTGACTTCTCTATAGTCTCCTCTCCGATTCTCTCATTTCTCTGAGAGGCTGAGACAGTGAGACTCTGAGTTCTCTCTACTATGTAGTCTGTTATCTTCTTCCACCTGCTCTGTAGCCCGGTTAGTTCTGTTCGAGTGGTGGTCAGGTGGAAGCCCTACTCGTGGAGTGGATGATATCCCATGTTTTTTGGAGTGGGTCTCATCACTCTCGTATTTTATCTGTCTTGTTTACTATTCATTTGTCAAATTCATTTTTACTTCCTTGGTTATTTTCTTTTTAATTTTTAGTTATTTTTAAATTTAAATTTGTGTGTTTTATTCTTTTATAATACTTTTCATGTAGTTTATAAATATATAAATATATAAATTTATATATTAATATTGAACTTAATGTTATGAAAATTGAATTCAAAATTACTTCAGTTAAGCCTCGTTAGCAGAACTAGACATATAAAATAGGACGGAGTGAGTAATATTTTGTTCAATACTACCACATGAGAATCAACAACACACATCTCACAACACATGAAACATGTAGGGGGAAAACTACCACTGTCAAATATCAACCGGCGCTTGCAAGATCAAGAGTTCATAGTACAACTAAGATCCCTGTCATATACACAACAAAGCAAATCCACAGTTTCCTACACTATAATCTCATTGTATGACGATGGCCTCTATGCTACCACCAATGACCTAGTTACACACGACACACTACCAATAAAAAATAAGAGGACAAGTACTAAAGACGAAGACAATGGCAATGATACCCAAAAGAAAATTAAGAAGACTTAGAGAAATCCAAAACCAAAAGTAGTATTTATTTAGAATTTAGACTATTGTTTTTAGTCTAATTATTTAGACTAGCGTTGTTACAAAGTTACAAACATTTATTTTAGTAGCAATTATAATCAATTTCTCATATATTATCGATTTAAATAAACTAATTCAACATTCAATTACCTATGCATGAACATCTCTTATATAATATTGCATTGATATAAATGAATTATTCTATATTTATTATTTCATTCATAATTTATTTATAGCTGTAAATATTGAAGAGTAGCGTGTGCATATATATATATATATATATATATATATATATATATATATATATATATATATATATATATATAATTACATTAAGGTAAAAACACTTGTTAACATATAAATCCGTGGACAATTTGGGGCCGTTGGATGGTGGGATTGGATGGTCCAGATTGAAGCTGATTATTTCGGGCGTGTGGGGGTTCTTACGTTAAGTGTTATTTTTTATTTTTTTTTTTATGTGTAGGGGTTATTTGTGGTATTTTGGTTATCTTTGAGACCTAGTCAAATTAGTCTAGCTATTCCTCTTCCACGCGCAGCAGCTCTCTGTTCTGTCCCTCCGCTTCTAGCTCTCGATCTGTACGTGCTTCACGTCTCCAGGCTTCGCGTCCATCTCGGTTTCATCTCTCGCGTTTCACTTTCACGTTGCAATGGTAGAAGGCGGGGACTGCGGCGCATCGAAGAGGCGGAGACCACCGGTCCGAGGTGTCGGCCAAGGTGCGTATTGTCGCCGTATTCTTTTTTTTTTTTTTTTTTTTTTGTTGGTTTTCTTTTTGTCCGTCGTGTTTGTCTTGTTTTGTCGGGAGGTTCCTTCATTCTACGCATGGTGTGTGTTTTGTTTGGTGGTGAAGGTGGGTTTCACCGGGTTTATGGGCGATTTTGGGGCTAGGGTTTCTGATTTTGGGATTTTTTTGTATGTATTTGCCTGTTTAATTGCTTGTTGTGGTTGATTATTATGCATCCAGTAGGTGTGAGAATGGTGTCTGTGGTTTTTTTTTTTTTTTTTTTTGTTTCCAGTGCTGGCGGTTTTTTTTTTTTTTTTTTTTCCATTCATTCTGACGTGTTCTACAACTTTACTCTGGTCCACTAGGATCTGGCACACAAGAATTAGAGAACCTAAAATTGATAGCCAATATCAACTGAGTTATGCCATGAAATAACAAATCTAATGTTAAGGAATTCAATTTGCCACACTTGACATTTTCATCAATTAAAGCAAAGTTTATGCATTCACTATTACTCTATTAGCAGTGCATTCTATATTTCCTTGTCTCTTTCAAGTTCTGCTTAGGTTAATTAAGAAACAAGAAGGAAGGTAAAACACTTTAATAGAGAAACTAGATAAACTCCTTAACATTGTATACTTGGATGCATTCTCCAGCAAACAAAATTGCTCCTATGCTAATTCCAGTGTTAATGGCTGTTTGAATGAATATTACAAAATAAAACATCTCTTCAGAACTTGCAGCTACCAACCTACCAGCAGGGGGGTGGGGGTGTTGGGGGTTGATTGGTGTGAGGAATTTTTTTTTTTTTTTTTTTTGATTTCTCTATTAATTTTTTGTGTTGTTCAATGAAATAAAAGTTATGGGTTCATTGTTCAATGAATTAAAATGCGGTGAAATATGGTGATTCTATTTAGGATATGGTTAGTGCTGCTCCCGTTGCATCCCAATCCCCCCTCTTGTTTTGTTTCCCTTATTGACTTCCCCCCTTAGTCTATAGTTTGAATGTTGTGTCAATGTTCCATTTATTTTGAATTTCAGAAGGGCATGCTATCCGAGTTCTTCAAAGATATTTCTCCTGCGGGGTCTGCAACTTGTGCTTGTGTGGAATTTAAGCGGTTGCAAATGGCCTAGCGGGATTCAAAGGGGGGCACTATGACTCTACACAAGCTCAGACTGCGTTACATGAAGAAGCTTGTGATTTCGGACCATAATGTGCACAGTCTAGACAACTTTTCTCGGGCGTACCAGTTGATATCTGCTCATCTTCCGTCCGTGTAGACATGTGGTATTTAGTTAGGTCTGTTTCGTTTTTTGGTGTGATGTGCACACGGCTACTGCACACTGTGCTCACTTTAGTTTTTTGTTTTACTACACTTGTGCGCACATCGACTTTTAATTGTGTGTGCATCATCTTGGGCACATTTTTAGTTTTTTGATGATACTGTAATGGCATACAAGCCGTTTTTAATTTATGGTAACACTTTTTTTTTTTTTTTTTTTGGGCTTTGTTATGTTTCTTGTGGTTGTCTTGGTAGTTTATATTGGTGTCAACTCTTGTTCTTACTTAATTTCACTCATTCCGGTCTCCCGTTGAGGTGTTTAGCATTTTTTGGTTATATCCTCCACCATGTTTGCACATTCGTATGGTATTGTGTGCACAATGCCATTTACTTGGTTTTTACTAATACTGAATACTAATCAATTTAGTTTGTTGTATGCAGCGTTATTTTCTACCATCCCACATTTGTGCGCGTGTATATTTTCCTGTGTGCACTGAGTTTTGGTGTTACTTATTTTCACGATTTTAGAATAGACGTTCACGTTCCTATGCATAGGTATAGTTTCGTTGATGTGTGCACCGCTATATACTACTGTGTGCGCCCATAGTCTTCATGGTGTTCAACATGTGTGCGCATATAGATTTTACTGTGTGTAGGTTACTCAATGCTGTTATTTTGTTAACAACAATTGCTGGTAATAATAAGTTTGATAATTATAAATATTTAAATACAGGTCATAAATAAAAATAAATGGCATTTTTAACTGTTTCTGGAAAAAAAAAACTTATTCTAGTATGAATCTGATGCAACTTTATCAGGATAGGTGTGTATACAATAATAAAGATCGGTCTCTGTGTCGTTGTACATATTATATATTGGTATATGTCGCGCACACCTACTGCTTAAAACATGCACACACAATATAGTGTTATGCTCGGTAGAAATCAATCCATATCTCTATTGTTTTAAATCGCTATCCTTCATATAGGGTCTTCTCATTTTGTGTTGCAGGTCTCCAGTATTTCGCACCATCATCGCCTATTTTCATAACACAGTTTTGTGCATCGTGTTCACATTGTTCTTCTCCTGTTGACCATAAAAAATAAATATTAAAATTGTGTTCCATTTTAAATGATGTGCATGAGCATTCAAAAATTATTAATCTGAATAAGATTAAAATTGTGTTCCTTTACGTGGTTCATTCACTACCCTATTATGTAAGTGCGTTATTTCAGTTAGGGTGTATTCTGGAGTGTGTGCATCACGTCGTTTTACTGTGTGCGTGGTTGTATAATCGTGTCTTTTCCACCCCCAACATAATAATAATAATCTCGTACTCATAGTTAGGATTTGTGATTCATCTTATACGCATACATGCTCACCAATAGATTATCACCCAATTCACACAATATTAATCCTGAATCATTTCCTCCTAAAATCCATACGCATACATGTTTTTCCCATAAAATCTAATTCACACAGTTCTGTAATCCATCACATAATATCGTTAGACTATCATAATCAAGTTGGAATGATTACCTGGTAGTGATGGCGACGTATACTCCATGTTCGCAAATTCCTCCGAAAATTCCTCTCTGTATTTTGTTTGCTGTACGAGTAAAATGCCGTTGCTGGGGTTGCGATTGTGTTGTTGTTTAATCCTATTATAATTAATCTTCTCTAATTTAGGTTAAATATCAAAATTACATTTTTACCGTAATTAGGCTATGCAAAATTGTCTTATATGCCCTTATAATTATTATGAACGATCTTGGCATATGTTTTTCCCCTAAAATCTAATCCATTAATCTAATCTAATCTTATGGCCCATATTTGTCCACAAGTTTATATTTTAAGGGAATTTGCATGTGAATGCAATATATATATATATATATATATATATATATATATATATATATATATATATATATATATAGCAGTATAGGTTCTATATTTTCTCAAAAATTTTCAGCTTAAAAAATCTAAGTATATGTTCTATATTTTCTCAAATTTTTTCAGCTTAAAAAATCTAAATCATATCACGGGGTTCGAACATATGACCCCCATTGAAATTAATTACCAATATATAATCATCAAGTTGATAATATTTTGTCTTTTGGTCATGACTAGATATCTAATAATAATTCCTAGTGAATTTCATTTAATGAACCATTTTTATACTCACTATTACTCCATCCGTCCCATTTTATGTGTTTGATTAGGTTATCAAAGATTGATTGAAGTTATTATTAATTCATTTTTTCATAATATTAAATTTAGTATTAGTATACAAAATTTATATATTTAGAAACTATACTAAAAGTACTATTAAACACAAAAATTTAAATTTACAAATAAGTAAAAAATACTAAAGAAAATACACAAAAAAAAGAGTTGATTTGACCTAAGTAAGACAGATAAAATGGAAAGAGGGAATATTATTTTAGTCACACCAATTTTTTTTTTTTTTAATATTATAGTTCATTTTAAGTTTGAATTAAGTTAAAGACTTAAATCCTTTAGAATAAACTCTATCCAGCTCATTATAGTTTTTTTTTTAATATTATAGTTCATTTTAAGTTCACACCTCTAATGGCGGAGGTTCTAGCGTGCAAAGAGGTTTTGTCATGGTTGAGAGATCGCGGTATAAACTCTATCCAGCTCTTCACGGATTGTTTACTACTACAACAATATCTATCATCTACGACTCGATGACCACGGTCTTATTTGGGCTATGCCATTGATAGCTGCAGGACTAGTATATTGGCTTTTGAGTACTGTTTAATTCGATATGTTCCTAGATTAGATAATTATTTAGCTCATACTTTAGCATCTATTGCCTTTACTCAGACGACTATTATGTATTCGGACTCAAGTCCACCAGCTGCTATTTCTGCATATTTTGAATAAATGCCGTATAGGCTCCTTTCAAAAAATCCTTTAGAATAACATTTGAGTTCGTAACATTATTTTAAGGAATCAAAATATTTCAATTCACAATATTTGAACATGAGATTTCACAAATTTTCTCAATATTTACCATATAAACGATTCTTTTAATATTTATTATTTTATTCATAAATTTGAATTTGTAACCTTATTTTAAGGAATTAATATTCTAATTCACAATATTTGAAGATGAGATTTCATGAATTTTCTCAATATTTACAGCTATATAAATGAAATATTCTATATTTATTATTTCATTTCATTCATAAACTTTAAATTCGTAAATCGTAACCTTGTTTTAAGGAATTAATATTCTAATTCACAATATTTGAACATGAGATTTTGTGAATTTTCTCAATATTTACAGCTATAAATGAATTATTCTATATTTATTATTTCATTCATAAACTTTATCGTAACCTTGTTTTAAGGAATTAATATTCCAATTCACAATATTTGAACATGAGATTTCGTGAATTTTCTCAATATTTACAGCTATAAATAAATTATTCTATATTTATTATTTCATTCATAAACTTTAATTAAGTTCGTAACCTTTCTCTTCAAAAAAAAAAAAAAAAAAAAAGAAGCTCGTAACCTTGTTTTAAGGAATTAATATTCCAATTCACAATATTTGAATATGAGATTTCGTGGAAATTTTCTCAATATTTACAGCTATAAATAAATTATTCTATATTCATTATTTCATTCATAAACTTTAAATTCGTAACCTTGTTTTAAGGAATCAATATTCTAATTCACCTCGCAAATTTTCTCAAAATAATGAATGAAAGTTATGAAGCCCTTTAATTCTCAAGATTTTTTTTTTTAATTTTTTTTAAATATTTAATTCTCAAGATTTGATTGACAATATAGTTGCTTTATGGACCATGTTCCATATTGTAATGTGGACTTGAATTTAAAATACACAATTTACATACTGAATGTTTACAATTTTGTAAAATATAAATTGTAAATATTAAATCTGTAAATTGTGAACATTACATATGTAAATTGTAGACATTTAATATGTAAATTGTAAACCTTTAATATGTAAATTGCGTATTTTAAATTTGAATCCACTTTACAAGGTGGACCCAAGTCCACAGAATATTTGCCTTATGAGCATATATGAAAACAAACGTATATAAAAAATATCTAAATGATACAGTATTTTCTGTGGTCGGTCTACCACCAAAAATCACGTACCCCAACTAAAACACTCGTGTCAATCGTACGGCTAATATTATAACTTTCGACTTCCTAAGTTTTTGTCACAAAAAACAAGAAAATTATCCTAAAATAATACAGAGTAACGTAAAATATGTAATAAATAAATTAAATAAAAAAATAAATATATAAACTGGAACGCCGTATATGAGTATACTGCTAAATGCCTAAATCTTTCTATCTCACCATAACCTACTCTTCCCTCTGCTCGGTGTCCAAATCACATCGCCGGGGAACAAAAAGGTAAGCCATCCACCGCCGGCGGCGTTTCCTCCTTTCTCTATCTGTATGTATATGCGTATGTATTTGTGTTGTGTTGTGGTTTCTATCTTTTTATTTTATTTTTCTCAGTTGTTTTTCGATTTCTTCGTTTTGAAGTGTAGTTGATCGGTGGGTGGGGTTTGTAGGTGTGCGAATTGGAAGAGGGATATTTGATGTACTTGCTCGCGGATCTTAACTACATACAACACCATGATCGCATTAGAACATAAAGGTACGTCCTTTGATTTCGTTCCCGATTAAGGTTTGGATTGTAATTCGGATTTGATCGTGTTTGAATTTTATACGGGGTGCATTTTTATTTATTTTTTGAATAAAGTTCCGATTAGATAAATTAGTGTGTGCAATAGTGAATTTGGATTCTGTGGTATTAATTAGGAACAATTTCTGCCATTCCTAATGGGAGTTCCCAGCACTGTGGCTTAATATCGAATTAATTAGAGGTTCTTTAGAATGCTAAAATCACTCAAGAAGAACTGTTGGAAAAAAAAGGGTTTTTTTTTTCGATTTTTTTTTTTCTCTTGGAGTTTTCCAAGCAGTATAATCTATCTTCTAGCAATGCTATATTGCTATCTGATGTTTTTTCCTGGATACTCTTAAACCCTTTAGCATTCATGTTGGTGATAAGTTACTGATGTTTCATTATCCTGTAGTCACATTTATTGACCGACCTTCAAGCTACGTACTAGTTTCTCTCTTTTAAAATCTATGCATATTTTTAAAGTTCATGTTTTTGTTTTTGTTTTGTTTTTTTGTTTTGTTTTTGTTTCTAACCACTTTTCTGGTTAATTTTTGTTTTATATTCTATTGTTTATTTTAAATAGTTCTGTTTGATTCTAAATGGATATCAAGGTGGATTTGTTTGCTTAATTTGCCAATTTGTGTTGTGGTTATGTGGTGAATTTTGCATTTATTAATTTAATTTAATAGGATAATGTAAAGATTGTGTTGTATTTATGTTTGAAAAACAATTGCTATTATGTTTTTATTTTTTTGTAAGGAGGGTAGTTTTAGGAATCAATCAATAGCCTTTTAAAAGTGCTTGAAGCTTTTCATTCTTTCAATAGTACATAGCAATTAATATAGTCAAGACTACACGTTCTAATGAGATGAAAGATAAACGTTTTACTAATTGTTTGTTAGTGTACATTGAAAAGCAAATTGCAAAATAATTTAGTATAGATTCACTTATAAATGATTATTGTGAGGCGTTCTAAATTTTAGTAAATTTGCAAAATGATTATTTTGGAATATATTAAATGGATATTAATGTATTTGATTTAGTATGGTTGGCCACTTGGCCCCCTGCACCATCCAATCCTGGCTTTGCCTTGTGTATCGGAGTCTTGGGGGGCACACTAGGTTATGATATATTTTCCTGGTACATGCTTTGAAGTTCCAGATTGCTTCTAAGTGCAGTTACATTTTCCTCAAGTTGGATGCTCATTCTTGTTTTGCTTCTGACCTACATTGCTCCACTATGTTTTTCTCTTATCATGTCTAGCATTGTATTTTTTTGGTATCCCTCACTGCTTTTATGGCTTAGTTTAGTTCAGCTGATAAGTCTGGTGCTTAGATTTTCCCTGACTTCTATAATAAACATCTCACCTACTAGGATTTATTTTCTGTATGGTGGGGAAGGGTGCTACACTTTTATCAGGTATATTCAGGTGAAATTAACTTCTTAGTATCTATACAAAAAAAAAAAAAAAACAAAAAACAAAGTTTTGAACTTTCTAGTATTTCAGGGAAGTTTTTTTTTTAGTTGAGAAAATGGAGGGCTTTGGTGTGGCTGTTGATAATGGGAAAAATAAAAGGTGCAAATCTGCATAGATCTCTGCATTAATGTTTTTAGCATTTTGTGATATAATTTCATAACATGACCTTTGATAGTGAGGAAAAGGGTGGAATTCCCATACAAGGGATTGATTCGATAATTACTCCATATTACTTGGGCGGTGCATCATATGTGGAAGAATCTATCATGTGATGATTGATGAAATTTATGCCTAGTTGTAGGCATTGGGCACATTTATCCACAGGATGTAAATGTTTGAATGTTTGATATCAATGTTCCTGTGTGCTAATACCTTTTCTCCTAGTTGGACAGTCTTTTCTATTGCCTTTGATAACTCTATTAGTGTTTCTCTCGTCATTCTCTACCTTCCAAATTTCATGTTTGGATCCTTGATTTGGTTAAAGCTTAATTGGGTGATGATTTCAATGTGATTTCATAAGATCCTTTATGAAGAGCTTTGATGTGCCTTTTGAGAGTTAGTAAAAAAAAATGATGCAAATCCCCAGTATTGGTGGTTTTTCTTGATAATTACTATCTGGATGGTGCTGTGTGTATAGAAGAATCCATTGTGTTGAGAATCTTCTTTCGTGCTTCAACTTTTATTAAGCGTCAATGTTCTAAGTGACTATCCACATTGGTATTTTAATTTATACCTGCTTTGAGAGAGTAGACTTTTAGAGTTAGTTGATAATTTGTTAATACATTTTTAATTTAATTGCAGATACTATGCAGGTGAACTGTGAGGCACCGATAAGATGCCTCCAGAACACGGGATATCCTCAACATATGCATTACAACGGGGCGGCCATAAAAAACTTTCCCGAGTTTAATGAAGGCACCTACTCTCAACCAGTTGGGGATAATATTGATTGCTCATTTAGCAGTGACCAACCAATTGACTCATCTAAAGAATCTCCAAAAAAACCCGTTCAACAGCATGCTTCTGGCTCTTGGTCCGCCTTCTACCCCGGCTCAAATAATATGCGAATGTGCGCAGTGAGTGCTTTTGAAGCCCAGTTTTATCCTTACTCAGTGGACAGCCGGTTCCATTATGGCCCATTCAATACAATCCCTCAGCGTTACCCTTACGAATTCCAATTCCAAGATTTTCAATATTTTGTTGTCATAGACTTTGAAGCTACCTGTGACAAGGAAAAGAACCCTCACCCCCAAGAAATAATCGAGTTCCCATCTGTGATTGTGAGTAGCATGACTGGCCAGCTCGAAGCCTGTTTCCAGACCTATGTGCGCCCAACATGCAATCATCTTCTCAGTGATTTTTGCAAGGATTTGACTGGCATCCAGCAAATTCAGGTGTGTTTAAAGTTTGAGATTTTATATGCTAAATATGTCCCGAATTTTATAAGCAAATTCAGGCTTGTGTTTTCAGGTGGATCGAGGAGTTACTTTAAGCGAAGCTCTACTTAGGCACGACAAATGGCTTGAGAAGAAAGGGATAAAGAATTCCAATTTTGCAGTGGTTACGTGGTCGAATTGGGATTGTAGAGTTATGTTGGAATCAGAATGCCGCTATAAGAAGATCCGAAAGCCTCCTTATTTCAACCGGTAAGCGTGAGACTTTAATACAATGTGCAATTACTATTAATGCGAGAAATTATTTCTCATGTATACTTATGATTTTATCAGGTGGATCAACTTAAAGGTTCCTTTCCATGAGGTTTTTGGAGGCGTTAGGTGCAATCTGAAAGAGGCTGTCCAGCTCGCTGGCCTGGCCTGGCAGGGTCGTGCTCACTGTGGGCTGGATGATGCCAAAAACACTGCCCGTCTACTCGCCTTATTCATGCGCAAGGGTATTAAGCTCTCGCTCACAGATTCGCTGATCTGTCAGTCCACTAATGAATCGTTTACATGGAAGCCACCCCAAGATCATCCATCCGTTTCCCCTTACCAGACCCAAAAAGCGAGAGACCCGCACTTCCCAACAATCCAGGTTCACCCGAATTGCTACTGTGGGATAAAGAGCAGCAAAGGCATGATCCAGAAACCGGGTCCAAAGCAAGGGAGCCTCTTCTTTGGTTGCGGGAACTGGACTGCTGCAAGGGGTGCCCGTTGCCATTACTTCGAATGGGCTGCTTCCCCTTGACCACTGGAACAACGAAAAAGGAAGTGATCTATTATTAATCGTCTACCCAATCGTCAGCCCCTAGTGATATTATGCTCGTCCTGTAAAAAGCGAAAAAAGTGTGTCTCTGGTTTGTGATTCTGAGGAAGCGGAATCTGCCCGTACTACTACTACTACTACTGAGGTCGGTCTCTCGCTTCCTGCAGAGTAAATATCGATATGGATATGGATAGTTTGGCTCAAGGTTGCATCTTCTCAATGCACGATAGCGTGTGCCGGAAATATGCAATGGTAGATCCAACCTGTTTAACTGACTTCTTATTGACAGATAATTGGAAAAATATGTGGAGATGGGAGGTGGTGTAGTTAGAGCAGGCGTTCACATAAACAGACTTATATTTATGTGTTAAATAAATAATTGTGAACAAATGCAGTTCAATGGGATCAATGGAGTTGTTTGCTTGCCTCACTTTCTGTCACCTTAGTTTTCCATTATCGATTTCATTCTCCTCATTAATCTAAAGCCAATGTTGTGTCGGATCAGGGAAGGCAAACTATCAATCACTATTCATGAAATATCACAAATAAAAAGTACATTATTTGAGTATTAAAATATATTATTTTGTATACTATCAAATAATGTACAATATTAAAATACATTATTTTGTATATTATCAAATAATGTATAATATTAAAATACATTATTTTGTATACTATCAAATAATGTACATTCAATATATAATTTGTATACCTTATATTCATAGAAATTAAAAATTAGAAAGTACATTATTTTGTATACTATTAAAAATGTACCTTATATTTATAGAAATTAGAAAGTACATTATTTTGTATAATGTACATTCAAAATGTACTTTTATTATGGTCTACAAAAATTAGACGCAAATTATACCATGGGTCATGGTTTTACCACTTCAGATTATATGTATGCAATTGATATATTCAAAACCAGTTCGGTGAAAGAATAGACGAATTGAAAGAATAGAAGACATAAATATCGTTATATAGAATATATATGATGTATTAAGAGTTAATTCCACCAAAGGTCCTTTATTTTGAGTGACAATTTCAAATTTAGTTCCAGACTATCGTTTTTGACATGTAACATCCCATACTATTATTTTTTGGACAATTTTAGTTTTTCTCATGACTTTTTCTATTTTTAATAAGGACATTTTTGTCTCTTTATATTTTTCTTTTGTTATTTTTCCACTTTCAGTCGGTTTAATTGGTTTAGAACTTTACTAAAAATCGATTGAAAAATATGTGATAGTACTAATTGCCACGTAATGCGGTAATTAAATAAACACAAGACCAAATAAAGCAATTAAATGTCTTTTATTGATCAAGGTGAAGTCCCTAAGTACAATCTAAGTGGTTGCTCTGAGTACCGACTGACTGCGGTCGGGATTCTCTAATAACAACCTATCGATTGTCCAAAAGTCCCCCACATTGTTGCTATTGCAGGTATTTATAGCCGCGGAGTCGGAGACACAAGTCCGGCCGTCCGGCATGTCGCCCACGTAGCAACCACATGTCGCCCTCCCGGGTGCCCTGCCTGTCAGCACGTAGCGTTGCCACGTGTCTCTTCTCAGCTCTCTCGCCTAAGGGCTACCGATCGGTGGTCGACAACTCCGGTCGGGTGCTACCCGGTCGGTTCCCGACCGGGTTCTTCTAAGAAAATCGACCTGTAACCTGCACAAATAAGAACAAAAGGACGAAGGCATGTCGGTCGGGGTATTCCCTACCAAGAGCCCCCCAGCCCGTGCCTTTTTTACCGTTCGGAAAAAACGGGGCGGGATGATGAAGCCCAAACGTCCGCCGCCAAACCGACCGGCCAGCTGTCATTCCCTTCACGCCACGTGTCGATGACTGCCGGCCTCTGCGACCGCAACGGTCACGTCGGAATCAAGAGCGGTCGCATCACGCAAGTGGACTGGTTTCCCGCCCAAACGCTCTCCTATAAATAGGCCTCTGAGGCCCTCATTTGAACTTTCCTCAACCTTCTGAATCAATCGGTATACTCAGAGAGTCCCGAGCGAAACACTTCAGCAGATTGGTCGAGCAAGTAGTTTTCAAGCTTTTCAAAGTCCCCGCACTCGGTAAGTTCTCTAATCTTTAACATTTTCCTTTTGCTTTACGCTTCTGTATAGCGGTTGGTAGGCTAAAACTGACCTCGACCCAAACGTCCCGAGTCCCACACTAATCCCGACCGGCCTTTAGGTAGACAAAATGTCAGACTCGAACAGACAAAATGCATCAGTTGCGGACTACGACAACGAGGTCGAGCAAACCAGCGAGGAAGTGGACATAATGTCCTACTTGCCGGAGGTCGTTCAACGACCACAGGTAACACCCGAGCGAGCCCCCGAGCAACGAAGGTCATCGAGCTCATCGGGAACATCGGGGTCAAGCTCAAGCGGGTCGGGGAGCTCGAGCGAAGAGAGCGGGGAGACGTCCACGAGCGGGCGAAATCTCCCGGCTGAGGGCGTTCGGGATACGCCACTAGGGTAATTGGGGATTACCCTCAGGCTGAGCCCCAAGAAGTCGATCGAGAAAATGTTGCGGAGCCGGTAGCACCGGCCGCGGACGGATTCGAATTTTTAAACAGCGAAAGCGTCGAAGGTCAGAGGAGTAAACTGACGAAGGGAGAAGCGGCCAAAATCGCCGCAACACTTAGCGGTCGGGTCAAGTTCGACACCAGTCGCCGGCTTGGGAACATCATCGAACGCCATCGGGGAAAGTGGATTGGGATGCATTATGACTCCCTGATGGCCCCGATCACTTTCCCTTTCTCGGGCCTTCTCACAGCGTTCCTGGGCTACTACCAGGTCGTCCTCGGACAAGTCTGCCCGAACGCGCATCGGATGATCGTCTGCTTTCCTCAGATATGCGCTCGGCACGACGTGGCCTGCACCATGGAGCTGTTCAACTTTGTGTACCAGGTGAAGGTCCTTGCAGCTACATACGGGGGCGGATTTCTGATGACCCAATCTCGAGCGGATATGTGTTCGATTGAGGGTCTACCCGGGAACAACCGGGGATGGAAGAATAGGATCTTCTCGGTCAAGTACGACCCGTGGATCCTCCCGGTTGAGAGGGCTTGGAGCCTACGTTTCCGAAAACAAGTCATCCCAGTCGAGACAAAAGCCCTTCGGGACACGGTCGCAAAGATCTCGGGCGAGATCTACGAGTACAAAATCTTCCGGACGGCTGAGAGCTATGAAGCAGCCCAATTGCCTGAGCCGATCTACGACCTAACCGAGAAGTATAAGCCCGAGCCAATGGGCGTAACGATCGCAAGGGCGCCCGCTCGGGGCAAGCGGAAGGGAAAAGGTCTAACACTAACCAATCCTCCCCGACCTTAACACCCCGAACGCCCTTTATTCGCGATCTAACCGTCTTCTCCTTTTTATTTGCAGAGATGGCAGGTTTTGATGAAGATGACGCCCCCCCTCCCCCCCCCCCCCCCCCGGCCCCGGTCGCCAAGATCGTACTTGGGAAGAAGAAGCCCAAGACCAAACCAGCCGGGAGAAGGAGATCCCGATCGCCCGACCGATGGGCGCCTCGACCATCACCACGCCCGAAAGTTATGTGGTCGACTCGTTCGACGTCCTAATTGCCCGGGTGGCTGTCGCCAAGGGCAAAGAGAAGGTGCCGGAGAAAGGTGTGGCGGAGAGTGGCGCCCTGAAGCGCCGTAGGGAACAGCGCAGCCCAAACCCTCGGTCGGGGGGTACTAAGGGCAGCTCATCCATTCTTGCCCGGATCGGCAACACCGGGCCGACTAAGGAAGATTTGAGCAAGCTCACCCCGACTCAGGTGGCTGAGAAGATCGGCTACGACTTGGCCGAGGTAAAACACTTCCTTTCTTTCGTTTTTATACGCAAGTAGTCCTACTCGGGCTAAACCCGATCGTACTTTTGCGATTGCAGATCTCCCGAGCGACCCAGCTCCTCCAACGCCGGGCTCTGCAGGCCAATGAGGCCGAAACCCTAAAGAAGGTCGCCGACCGGCGACTACAAGAAGTCAAGGACCTCCAGGCGGAGTTAACGAAGGCCAAGGAGGATCTGAAGAAAAGCCGGGAGGATCGGAATCTCTCCGAGAAGGTCGCTCAACAAGCGGTCGGGGAGGTCACCGAGCTGAAGGCCCGGTTGAACAATCAAGGCGAGCTGGCCCAGTTCATCTTCCGGGACAACGAGTCGGGCACGCGATTCCTCCGGGCCGTCTGGGATACAAAGGTCGGGGAGGAACTGGTCTGGACGTTCGGGCGGTGGGTGTACAAAGCCGGCCAGAGAAAGATGCGTGAAAAGACGCAGAAGATCATGGAGCAAGCGCTCGAGGGAGAAGATCTTCAGCTGGTCCTGACCATGCTTCCTCAGGATATTCCCGACCCCGGGCCACCACCATTTGACCCAAAGGAAAAGACGGGCGAGTCAAGTGGGGCTGCTGCTGCCACCCCGAGCGATGTAGATCCTTCGAAGAAGTAGATTTAATTGCTTCTTCTTTTTTTGTAAGTGAATCCGATCGGGAGCCCAGTCCCGAGTTGTACCGGGCACATTTTTAACGTTTAATGAAACTTTGCTTTGTCCAACTTGTGTGGCTCGTATTTACTTATGCTTTACTTTATCTTCGTGTATGTCGATCGTTTTAATGCCCGACCTTTCGGCCTCATGGCCTAATCGTGCATCCTCCGACCGAAACATCGACGTTTCAATGGCCTGACCACTCGGGTTTTACCCGACCTTCTGGCCTTGTCGATTTTTTGAAAACTGTTAAGCCTCTTCGCTCGGGGTGTTCCCAAGCGACGGACCTATAGCATTTCCTTCATCCTAGCCCCCACACTATTGTGCGCGAGAGGCACGAGTGAGTGCAATAGTGGAAAGAAGTTGGATGGATCGGGGAATTTTGCTGTAACCCTGACTTTCTCGATCGGTGGCGTGACCCTGGTGTCCGCCGAAGATGAGCATGTTTGACCGGTCGATATATCCGCCCGGTCAAGTTAAGTTTAGCTATTAGAGCCAAAATATTAACGGCTATTAGAGCCTAGTTGCACACCTCTATCGATAAGAACCAAGGGAGAGGTGTTCGTGGAGCGTAGAGCCCCTCTTCTATGTTGATGTTGAGCCTCGATCGGGTAGGTTACGAGCGAGGTCCGGATTACCCTAGTGTTAATCAAGGTAACGATAAAAAACCGATCGGGCCACCGTGTGCAAACGGTTGAGCAATCACCGATCGTATATACATTAAATTTTCCCGCTCGTAGGCGGTTAAATAAATATTTACAACAATAATTTACAATCAGACGACGAACGGAACCGACTCACAGGTCCAGCCCCCACTTCGTCTAAAATTACAAAAAATAGGCTAATGCCTAAATATAACGAGGTGCTCGGAATTCCAAGTCCCCTCGATCACCCGACCGGTTGTCGTCTCCAGTCGGTACGTTCCCGG